TACTACTTCTAACTTACTACTATTAGTTAATCTTTGAACTGTTTATAACTTCTGGGTTACACCAACTTTTACTACCTAAAACAATGTATTATTATATCACAGATCTTGAGTCAGAATGCAGGAGAAATAAGAAGTGACTTGGTTGTTAATATTATATCACAGATCTTGAGTCAGAATGCAGGAGAAATAAGAAGTGCTTGGTTGTTAATATTATATCACAGATCTTGAGTCAGAATGCAGGAGAAATAAGAAGTGCTTGGTTGTTAATATTATATCACAGATCTTGAGTCAGAATGCAGGAGAAATAAGAAGTGCTTGGTTGTTAATTATTTGTATACCAAAAGTAAATAATTCAAGTGTCAAAGCAAATGCCAACTTTTTCATTTACATCTCGCTTCTGGAATTTGATTTCTCTTGTCAGTTTAATATTGTATTTTCTTACTTTACCAAAATGCAAAATTCTGACCTGCTAATTTCAAGAATCCCATAATTTTGTGTACAGCATAAAGTTGAAATTTTCATACAAAACTTCTGTGTTCAAAACTCACTACATATGTAGATATATTTTTATAAAAAAGCCAGGTAATAACTACAAATATTATCAAAAAAACAGAGAGATTATATGCAAGTTAGTTACTTACAGTACCTATTTTCTCGTACAGTCCCAATCAAACCAAGTACATCTTAACCACTTCACTGCCCAATAAATTTTCAGGCTGATTCCCAAAAAGTGTCCACCAACAAATAAAAGTATGAATTTGACCCTGTGTATTACTTTTTCAATATTGAAAGAAGCTGTACTTTCTGAAAGTAATGTTAGTTGAAAACTGAACTGAGCAGGCAATGAGTATAAATGTTCATTTGATATATTCGAACTATGCAGCCAAAGGGTTAATAATTTCTTGACGTACTTCATTGAGGGGAGGAATATGTGAAACTGAGTAATAATAATAAAAAATCAAGGGGCTCGTACATTCATAAGTCTTTTCACATAATATAATTGTTTAGGTAGAACAAAACAAAAAAAAATGTTTTAAAACATAAACTTATACTAAAACATATTTAACAGTCAGTCAGTATCTTAAAATAATAATAATAAGCAGTCAGAGTTTACATATAGAGTTTTCATAAGAAAATCCCAGGATCAATAATCCAATTTACAGCACTTTCGAACACTGCCAATCAGCTTTAAACTTGGACTTTTTTTCTTGAAATGTGCTCACCAGTGAAAATTGCAATAGTTTTGGGTCTGGTGAAGTATGAGTTTCAAAATGGGCCAACAGCCAACACAAAACAAATCTGATGAAAATTTGTTTTTTAAATTAAGTCAATTACTTCATAGGATGTTTTTTTGTTTATTATGGAAACTGAAACTTTAGGTCCACGGCTCAAAAACAGTCATTTTTTTCAAGGACTTCCAAGACAAATCTTTATAGTAATACTTTTCCACAATTCTACCAGATTTGATGCAAGCCCTGTTAATATCTTCCATCAGTAAGATCAATATTATAAAAACTGAACAGAACCACAAACAGTGTACAAAATAATAAATACTACAGAGAACAAGCACTTTAACATCTTTTGTTTCAGTAGCATACATTTTCATTCCCACCTTATACAACATACCTCAGAAACCAGGATCTTGGCTGCTTTCCCACATTCTCCATCTGGACAAGTAATAATTACATTTCCATCCTGAATGTTGACAGTTAAGTACTGTTGTAGACACTACACACAAAAAAAAAACTTTCTTGAGAAGCCTATATGATACATTAAAGATTAATAAATTTGGTTCTTTAACTTATTCTACGCATAAACTTTTCTACAGTCACTCTGGTTTTATTACATAAGGAGTGAAGCTAGAACAAGCATATATAATTAGTTTAACATCATCCATCTGACAAAGATAATTTCTGAGTCACCTTCATATTGTGTAACAAAAGATTCAACATCAAATGAACAAAGTCTAAAAGTCAGTAAGTTGCCAGTTCAACATTCATGTATCTTTGATATATATTAACAAAAACAAGATGTGCAAAGAAATATATACATATATATGCTTATAACAGAAGATAATGTAATATTTGAAACATTTAAAAAAAAAATACAAAACAATTGGAGTTTTACAGAATCCCCACAAATAAAAATAAGTAAACAAATAACACACATATTTGATACAGATGAAAAAACAACTATGAAACCACATTTGAATAAACCACTATGATAATAAATTAAACTACAATGATTGTTACATATGTATATATATTCTGTATTTAATATAACGAAACTACTAAGGTAATGGAAAAATGAAACATGCTACTGTTTCTATAGAAAGACAAACAATTGGTTCCATGCACATTCAAGAATGTCACACTAACTGTTGGCCCTGTGTAAGAATGGTTCAGAAATCATGTGGACACAAAAACTTACACATCTGTACTGTTGTTTTGCCAGAGGGAGTTTTTATGTCACGTGATGAGTGTGGCTTAGTACCTGGAATCTTCATGAAAGATTAGGAAACAGGTTCAGCAGTACAAAAACACAAGTTATCTAGATTAGATGATGATTGACTATGTTGAATAAGCACAGATTCTTTTGAATTATTTAGCAAAAAATAATAACAATAAGTCCAGTCTGCTTAATGATAATAAAAGTTTTAATTCTTGAACTTCAAATTCTGCAAGTTGGCCTAACTGATGTTCATTGACATGCATGAGTTCAAAGTAGATGCTAATACAACAATTTCACTTGCTAACTTCTCTTGTGGGTATAACACTTTTGTGTTTCTCTATTTCTTTGTTGAAACACAAACATGATATTCAAAAACTGAGCAAAGAAACAAACTGACTAATAAACTCGCTAACCCAATAATTGAACATCAATCCTCTGTAACAAACTATGTTAATCACCACCTATTTTACCTTAACACACTTTTTATGTTGGTGAATTCACTTCCTAAACTCTTCAAGAAACTTCTAGTTATTATGCCACACCATCACAGAATGCTAAAAGTAACTCTAGACAACAACAATAGGAATGTCTAAAATAACAAAAAACAGTATAGAATACAATAGTATGGAGACCAAAGTTAAAACTATGTCTATTAGTGTTTAAACACAGAGACCGAATAAATCTTTTAAACTTAACAGTAACTCATTCATAACGTGTTGAACCACAAAATATTTGTACCTGTGATTTCATTTTTAGCCACAATGAATATGAGGAATGCTGTAGATGAAATAAATCTGTTGACCTACCATTTCACAGAAAAAGCATCCGCATCCTTTAAGCTGATACAGTGCCCCCTGGGGTACCATCATTAGACACAGTTTACAAATAACTAGGTGACTTGTTTGATCGTTTCTATAAAATCCTGAATCCTTTCGAAATGATGTCTTTTGAAGAGAAATGGCTGACAAATCCTTACTGCTTGTGGCTGCTAGGGTTAAGAGATCTGATACAGAGTGAGGGCCCTTTCTGAGGACATGGACCTGACTGGAAGACAAGCCAAGATTTTTAGAATTCATTTGTATGTGGGGCTGACTAATATGTGACGTAAGCTTAGGTAAGGACCAGGATTTACAAATATCGTTACTACTAAAGGACATCTTGAATAGTTTGGATGCTGAAGGTACTTTTAAACCTTCTTGATCACGCGGTGATGTGGACTTTTTAACCACAGTAGGAACTGTCTTTAAAATCAGCGAGGAGGATTTGTTTTTTGATGATATTAGGTAAGCAGCAACACCAGTATCACAAGATTTTGATTTTGGAACTAGTTTCTTTTCTGTTTCATGATGTTCTTCAAATGAGTTTGATTTTAAAAGTCCATGCATTTTATTCTTTTCTTCACGCCAGAAAAAACAATTACGTAGTGAGAATCGAGCAGTTGGCCTGGAAGGCTTATTTGTTTCTTCTGGAAAGCAAAATCGTCCAGTTTTACTATTCCCAACTGCAGGTGACATTGTTAACTCCTTAATTTTACCAATATCCTGTCATATCTTGGTTACAAAATTCTTTAGTCAGTTAATCACCAACTTGGAGCCTGAAAGTATTAAAAATACACTTACTTAAGTTGAAAAACAGATGATTTTAATCAGTCTGCAAGAAACAGAAGAAATACAATGCTTTTACAATATAAAAAAATTGGGTCTTTCTTGCTAAACTCTTTTATTTTACAGAAAACAGTGAAACGTTTTGATGCTAAAGTGACTTATGAAATGGTTTGATTTGTTTTGAATTTTGTGCAAAGCTACTCAAGGGTTATCAGCACTAGTCATTCCTAATTTAGCAGTGACAGACTAGAGGAGAGGCAGCTAGTCAACACCACTTACCATCAGCTCTTGGGCTACTCTTTTATCAACGAATTGTGGGATTGACATTCACGTTATAATGCCCCCTGAAAAAGTATGCATGTTCAGTGATGTGGATTCGAACCTACAAATTGCTATATGAGTGCCCTAACCAACAGGCCCCTTATGAAATGGAATAATTAGTCTTGAAACTATAGAAAACAGCATTCCACTAACCTGGACAATGTAACAGTTCTTCCTTACTGATTTTTTACTTAACTTTTATTCGAGGACTACACACAGGTGTAATAAACTATCTTTTATTCGAGGGCTACACCCTGGTGTAATAAACTATCTTTTATTCGAGGGCTACACACAGGTGTAATAAACTATCTTTCCAAACAAATATCAGTTCCCCGGCAATCAGTGATAAGGTTCCGCGCTAACAGTACTTAAAATCGGAGGTTCGATTCCCTGCGGTGTACAGAGCGCAAGTAGCTTAGCGCTAAAAAATAACAATACTACGTCTCATCTGCCATCCAGTTGGATGAAACAGCGATGTATCAAGGCTGCATGCCTTTGCTAATCTAATCAGTAAACAACTTTGGGGTAATTAGCATGTTTGTATCAAAACAAGGTCAGTTTGAAATGACCTTACTGGAAGGTTGAGCATGTACATGTTGTGGACTTTATGGTTATAGAAAGACGTTAATTATTCACGTTATATAAAAAGAGCTGGTCTAATGTTTACTAGAAAGTTTGAGTACACCAAACTTCAGATGAAATATGCAAGCTGCAGCATTACAAAAATAGTTACAACGAAAGTATCTTATAATACACGAAACTATGCATGTACAAAAAGCCACAGTTTTAATCAGATTCGTATAATGCAGACAAAGTTTGCCAAGAGCATTCTCGTAGTTTGATAAGCAATAATTTTGAGCCACAGTATAACGAGGGTCGCGCTTACGCACTCAGTGACAGTATTGCGCACGTGTATAAAATATTAGAACAAATAAACACACCTTACATTGGGCAAATACTGTAACTCAAGTGAGAATATACATTAGGTGCATCTGTTCTATTACATTATATTATTAAACAGACATTTATTTTCGTTTGTAACGTTCCATTGTTACCTCTAATAACTAGGTCTTTTTATATATCCATTTCTACTTTAAACACATTTCTATAACAGATAATAAAAATGTCTACATCCGGAAACAAAGCTATAATAATACAATTGTGATTCGTTACATGAATAATCAATCAAGCAATAGAAAAATACGAGTAAATACAAACGTATAAAATGTCAAGAAACCATACTGCGAAAACAGCGTTTCACTCTAAAATAAAGAATTCTAACAAACAAGTAAAGCAAACTGATCACCACTTGATGTTCTATAAACTTAAAGTTATGTTATTTGTACGTGACAAAACCAAGCATTATTATACTCGTACAGTTCCTAATCGTTATTATTTATCAAGGACATTAAATATGCTTTTGAATTCGTTAAGAATTCACAAATTAAACAAAAATTACATAGCGTTAACACTTACGGTTCAAACTGGGGGTCTCTTTGGTTGGAATGTCTATAAAAGTCCCTGTAAAGCTGTTTCCCTCTCACATCTCAGGACCGTAAGAACATAAGGCTTTCTACGTGATCCACACGCAAACAGTATATACGCTCTGACAACGAGCAATAATACTAGGTGAGAGCGGGAGCAGTTTTAACACGGCGTTATCACGTGAACAAAACGAGCCTGTATGGCTTCACGGCAACTTCTTATTGGCTGAGCACCAAGTAATTTCCATTGCGTCTGCGCTGTATCACTGTTTTTACCAAGTTCATCATGAGATATATTATTTGTGCTTTATATTTCTGTCGAGTCAGATGTAACGGGAGAGGAGGCGTCAATTGTTTAAAAACATTGTAATGGGGGGAGGGGGTCGGTAACAGCTCATCACATGTACTGGTAGTGAGTTAGATGAACCGGAAAAATCGAAAATAATGTTGCCTGTGACATCATGAGCTGTTCGACCAAAATCGCATTGTGGTACTTCGGGTTTGATCACGAAAGGTTTGACAACTTAACTGTTAAAAGGAAAATAATCGGACTCGTTGTAGTGACACGATACGAACAAGACTTTACTAAACAAACTAAGAGACAAGATGAAATAAAGTAAAACGAGTGAAAAAAGGCTCAATAATCGAAAACTGTAAGTAAGATTGATAAAATAGAAATAAATTTAAATTAAAGCTGGGTTATGTTACAAGTACAGGTGTGGTTGACCCCAATAAACGACTACGTGCAGCACAGGTTGGACTTGACTTTTACAGAGCTGCAACTATAGCGTCATATCTCCCTCTCAATTCATGTTCTTTATCTATATCTGGCCAGTCACGGGTTGGATTACCTGTGGAGACTATTTTACATTGTTCACTTAGTACATACCTTACTGGACTAACTTAAGTCTATAGCTGGCCAGTCACGGGTTGGATTACCTGGGGAGAAGACTTAAGTTAGTCCAGTAAGGTATGCACTAAGTGAAAAATGTAAAATACTCACTACAGGTAATCCAACCCGTGACTGGCCAACTATAGACTTAAGTTAGTCCACTAAGGTATGTACTAAGTGAACAATGTAAAATAGAATTCTGTTTAGTTTTCACCTTGTAATCTGCGAATTGCGGGTTCGAATCCCGTGACCGAACATGCTTACTCTTTCAGCCACGGGGGCATAATGGTATGTCGGTCAATTCCACAATTCGTTGGTAAAAAGTAGTCCAAGAGTTGGCGGTGACTGGCGTTGACTAGTTGCCTTCCCCCTAGTCTATCATTTCTAAATTAAGGGTTAGGCACAGACAGCCCTCGAGTAGCTTTGAACAAGATTCAACAAAACAAACAAAATTTCCAGCTGTAAGCCAATTAACATCTCATAAGCTTCAGGCACTTTAGGAATAGCATGCCTTACCTACCAACAGTTCAGTTTTTCGAACTTAACAGCAGACTTGTATTAGGATAATTATAAGCAAGTTCTTATCAAAGTAAGATAACTACAGAACTAAAAACTAACGTGTAACTAAGTAATTGAAGTTAATTCCACAAATCGAAGTTCTTAATATATGTCGTAAATCAATGTATGGGAAAAATAAACCTTATGAGAATTATGTAAAGTGTACTGGAACTTCAGGTGGAATAACCTAACTATTATGATCAGGGGAGGGGGCGGGTACACCACCTCAATATAAGCACATATAAACTTTTCTGTGAATTCTATCGACAAAATTTTTATCCGTCTTTTTTTTAGGGGGGGGGGATCTCTGGAGAAATATACATAATTTCTTGTTGCGACGAAGTTTTAGGCAAACAACGCAAGTGCCCAGAAAAAATCTGCAAATGTCCGATAAAAGGTGATGAAATCCTTAACTGGATCACATGACGTACACTAGGCTTTATCTTCGTCTTTTCAAGTTAAGAATATCAGGAAATGGCGATTATATATTGTTATTCGACCAAAGTCAATCATTCAATTCCCCACCTCCCCGATTTTGATGAAACAACAAACTACAATATAATCTTACACAGGCTTCATCTCCGAATGAGACAGACACGATGTGGGTGCCTTTTGGTCTTCAAAGATAAGCTACAAACTCTTAATGCGAGCTTTCAAATCAACTGAAAGAAGGAGGAAATAATCAAATATTTCATGCCGTTAGTATCGTCGTCATCATTTGTATTTATTATGGGCGTGGAGATAACCTTTCCCAAATTTAATTTGTTTGTTTTTAAACATAAAACTACACAATAGGCTATCTGTGCTCTTCCCACTTTAAATCGCCCCCCAGTGGCACAGCGGTATGTCTGTGGACTTACAACGCTAAAAACCGAGTTTCGATGGCCGTGGTGGGTAGAGCGCATACAGCCCTTTGTGTGGCTTTGCGCTTAACTTCAAATAAAACAACCTTAAATATCGTTTAGCCACCAGTTAGTGTAAAACATCTACAAATAAACATAGAATTATATATACAACTTTAAGCCTTCTTCAGGAACCGCTTTCCTCTCTTCATAGTTTTTACGTCGCCACAATATTAGTGTAATAAACGTTGGGGTCATTGGAGATTTTGTTTAGATTGGCGTGCACCACACACACACAACACTGTTCTTACAACATTTACTTAAGCGTGACTTGGTGTGAACGCCAATGTACAAACACCACAAGATATACAAATAAGTAAATTGACAAACGACGATTTCTAGGCATAATGAAAGGGTTTTATTTTGGGGAACACGAAGACAGACCAATGTTATGCCGAAATATGTCTTCACTTACCACGTATACGCGCAGGGAAATAATAGTTATTTCGATACTTTTATTCGGAGATCAATACCAAACAGTAAACAGTGAAATGAATCTTGAGACAAAGTTTTCTAGTTGATGGACTCTTCCAATAATAAGCAATTCTCCCTCACTATACTGAGCACAGATTTATCTCAGGTAGGTTTTGGCCGTGAAACTTTTCTATGTGTCACATACAAGAAAGTTGAGTAAGTTACACTAAATGCTTCTGGAGCCGCGCTGCTTTGTCACAGTCCATTTCACAACGTCCAGTCATGTTGTATCTGACGACCGAGCACCTTGAGAATAGCCCTATAGCGTAGTTTCCACAGTGTCAGGTTTTATGTATGTATGGTCCGGATTCTTTACAAAAGGTGTCAACAATAAACAAACAGTCCACTTGTTTTAAAATAATGTATTAAAACAAGTCAAACGTATATACAAATGTTTGTTATACTGTTGGTTATCATAGTTGTATTCAGAGTTATATATAACTGTCTTTTTTTCGTCAAAGTCCACACAGGCTTGTTCAATTACTTTGGAACACAGCTGACAAGATAAATTATTCTTCTCTACTCTGTTATTACAATACAATCTGTCATACTTCCACTGTCAGAATTTAGTTCTGATACATTTTCCACATGCGACTTTTATATCAGTTGTAGTTATCATTTGACTTGTGGATTTACATATACTAAATTCTAATAACGGCTGGAGACGGCTTGAATGGGTAATGAAGAAAAACTTTAATAAAAGTT